TGTATTCTGCTCTAAAATAATCTCAGTCAAGACGCTAAGTATGTTACAAAACAGCTTTATGCAAAACACTGTTACTTGGATGCAGATTAATGAAATAAAAGCGCGATGTAAGCTAAGCACTGCAAATTCAAATGGTGTTACATAAATTAATGAAGCAGCTAATTTGAATCAAAGGATCATCTAACTAAAGTTTAACAAATCAGTAGGCGAAGCAGAGTAAAAAAGCAAATGGTTTGTGCTCATTCTTTCCTAATGTTATTAAGAGCTATTGTTCTCCTTACCTGAAGATTCAGTTTGGAAAGTGCGCTTTAGAAGGTGTTCTACTCGCCCCTGTCTCTCAATTTATGATTTACATGCGCTAAATAAAGGAGCTTTCTCTTCAAAATCCATATTTGTTTCCCTTTTAACATACATCTGTGGACAACGACATATTACATGACTGAAGGAGCCAATTTCCTCAATGCTCCAACACCCCTTCTCACTGCATGAGAGCTTTAATTAAGCTGCTGTATGTTGCTTTAAGAAATATGGTCTTCCTACAAATTAAAATGAAGAACATCAAAATAGCGGCGCTAGTCCTGTAGAACATTGATTCAACAGCAAAGGTAGTAATGTGGTAAGTAAAACCCTCGGGATTTGTTTTTTGTTTCGAAAAAAGACCACTCAGCTATGCAACGCAGATGTACTGTGCGGAATGCGAGTTCTATTTCACAGAGCCGGGCATTTCTTCAAGCTGAGCATAAGGAAAAGAATTGACCGAACCAACCTAGCCTGAATAAGTTTGCAGATGATCCATAAATTGCCTGGTGTACCAATCAGGAATACGGTGATGTATATAATTGTCATCACTCCTTTGGCGTAGTGCATATCGGTGACGTCGGATGAATCATCTTCACTATCATCCGCGTAGTCCGCCATTGTCCTGCAAGCTATGGATACTGGAACGATTAAAAAAGGGCGAATTCAGCAATACGGTATTCGTGAGACTCAGCCAGGATTTTGCAGTTTGAGAGGAGTTACAAAAAATAACCGTTTATGGATAGGAATATGAGAAGCACTGGCAGGGGTTCTGATTTATCTATTAGGAAGTCACGTTATTTATGAACTTATGCTTTGATTATTTCGCTTTTTAGATATTGCGATTTGATATAGTGAGCACGAATTAGCTTGAAGACCTTAGCATCGTATTTTAAACTTCTAATGAAGTGTCGTGCCCAGCATGATACAGAAGAAAGCAACATTCTAGT